CTATTTATAGTACGTAGTAAATGTGTAAGGAAAATTTAGAATAGAGAGAAGGTAACAGAAAGATATTGTTTCTCTGTTAAATATTTAGGTGAAACCAACCTGAGGTTAGAATCTGACCCTGGCAGTTTCTGAAGACCTGATTCATGTGTCTCCGTGCAAAAAGGCATCTAAGTTTTTTTTTTTTTTTTTTTTTTTTTTTCTTTTAAGATGAAGTCTTGCTCTTGTTGCCCAGGCTGGAGTGCAGTGGCGCAATCTCAACTCACTGCAACCTTCACCTCGTGGGTAGAAGCGATTCTCCTGCCTAGCTGGGACTACAGGTGCCCGCTACCACACCCAGCTAATTTTTTGTATTTTTAGTAGAGACAGTGTTTCATCGTGTTAGCCAGGATGGTCTCAATCTCTTGACCTTATGATCTACCCACCGGAGCCTCCCAAAGTGCTGGGATTACAGGTGTGAGTCACTGCTCCTGGCCAAATTTTTTTTTTTTTTTTTTAAGAGATAAGATCTTGCTCTCTCACCCATGCTAGAATGCAGTGGCATGACACTGCAGCCTCCAACTTGTGGGCTCAAGTGATCCTCCTGCCTCAGTCTCCAAAGTAGCTGGGAGCACAGGTATATGCCACCATACCCTGCTAAATTTCTTTCTTTCTTTTTTTTTTTTTTGGTAATCTGAGTCTTGTTATGTTGCCCAAGCTTGTCTTGAACTCCTGGCCTCAAGCAGTACTTCTGCCTTGGCCTCCCAGAGTGCTGGGATTACAGGTGTTGAGCCACCATGCCTGACTGATAGCTAAGATTTTTTAATCTAGATTTTTTTTTTTTTGTATCATTACTTATCACAGTCAAGATTATTTGTAGTTGGATTTCTTGCTTTTATACCTGGACCATGGGATTTATATTGTCATAATACTTTTTTGTGGTAATTTATGCTAACAAGATAGACCAAACTTGAAATGTCTAAGGGCTTTACATTAAAAAAATCTGAATTTTACTTAGAAGCTATGGAGTATGCCAGAAATGGTTTCTTTAAACTGTGAAGAAACACTTTTTTTTTGTCTTTTAAGGGACAAAGAGATGAATTCTATAGTGTATTGTTACTACTTTTAGCTGTCAATTTTCAGATGTTCTTTTTTGGGTATTTTTCACTTTTTAAATTATGAAATCTGGGCCAGGCGTGGTGGCTTATGCCTGTAGTCCCAGCGCTTTGGGAGGCTGAGGCAGGCCAATCACTTGAGGTCAGAAGTTTGAGACCAGTCTGGTGAACATGGTGAAACCCTGTCTCTACTAAAAAAAAAAAAAAAGAAAGAAAGAAAAAAAATTAATCGGGTGTGTTGGTGGATGCCAACTACTAATCCCAGCTACTCAGGAGGCTGAGGTGGGAGAATCGTTTGAACCTGGGAGGCAGTGGTTGCAGTGATCCAAGATCACACCACTACACTCCAGCCTGGGTGACAGAGTAAGGCTCCGTCTCAAATAGATAAATAATGAAATCTATCACACATACAGGGATATACAAGTAATTGAATGAACACTCATGTAGCAACTCAGCTTTAACAAATCTACATTTTGTCATGTGTTCAGAATTCTTTTTTTTTTTTTTTGGAGACGGAGTCTTGCTCTGTCACCCAGGCTGGAGTGCAGTGGTGCAATCTTGGCTGATGGCAACGTCTGCCTCCCAGGTTCAAGCAATTCTCCTGCCTCAGCAGGAATAGAATTGATGGGTCATTTTTTGTATTTGTAGTAGAGACTGGGTTTCACCGTGTGGTCAGGCTGGTCTCGAACTTCTGAACTTGTGATCTGCCCACCGTGGCCTCCCAAAGTTCTGGGATTATAGGCATGAGCTACTGCACCCCATTTGTTTTTTTTAATTGTGACAGAAACATAAGATTTACTGCTTTAACCATTTTAAAGTATACAGTAGTGCTAACTGTATATACGTTGTTGTGCAACAGTTCTCTTGAACTTTTTTGTTTTGCATGAATGAAACTCTGTACCTATTTAACAATTACCCATTTTCCCCTAACCTCTGGCAACCACTACTCTCCTTTGTTTCTAAGAGTTTGACTACTTTAGATACCTCATAAAAGTGTAAGTACTTGGGGATTTTACTCAGTTGAGAGATCATCAGAAGGTTTGAGCAGAAGAGGTACATGAGCTAACTTTTCCCTTCAAAGGACACTGACGTGTCAAAAGGAGAGTGTAGGGAGGCTAATAGAGAAGCGGGGAAGTAAGTTAGGATGCTGTTACATTAATGCAGATAAGAGACTGGTTGTGGCCTGGATCAGAGAAGTGATGGTGAAGGTTGTGAGAAAGCCAGATTCAAGATAGATTTCTGAAGTCAACAAAATATGCTAACACATTGTAAGTGGACATCCTCAACAATGCCAAACCCAAAGGACTCTATGAGAATTTTAGAGATCATATGAAACTTCTAAGTTGCTTCTAAGAAAGCTTCTAAGTTGCCAAGCACACTGATGAATTGTGCCCATCTGTTTGAATTGTTGAATTATGAGAAGCATGCCTTGGACTTTGGGCATGCTTTTTTTTTTTTTTTTTTTTTTTTTTTTTTTTTTTTTTTTTTTTTTTGAGATGAAGTTTTGCTCTTGTTGCCCAGGCTGGAGTGCAGTGGCACAGTCTTGGCTCACTACAACCTCTGCCTCCCAGGTTCAAGCGATTCTCCTGCCTCAGCCTCCCGAGTAGCTGGGATTACAGGCATGTACCACCATGCCCGGCTAATTTTGTATTTTAAGTAAAGACGGGGTTTTGCCATGTTGGACAGGCTGGTTTTGAACTCCTGCTCTCAAGAGATCCACCCACCTCGGCTTCCCAAAGTGCTGGGATTACAGGCGTGAGCCATCGTGCCCAGCCGTGGGCAAATATTCTTATCCTACATATTGAGTGAAATTTCATCTTATTTCTAACACAGTTATATCCTCAGCAGTTTTTTTGTGGTTCATAAATATTCTTTGTAACTTTTATTTCATATGTATCATTCTCTGTTCTCAAGTGTAATTATTTTTCTTCAAGGTAGAAGATGTTGTTAGCCCAAATAAATCGAGATTCTCAGGGAATGACAGAGTTTCCTGGAGGAGGAATGGAGGCTCAACATGTTACCCTGTGCTTGACAGAGGCAGTTACTGTGGCAGGTGAGCAATTGTGTTTGAAGGGATGGGTTTGGAAATATCATTTGTCTAAGGGAAAATGACAATTTATAACTTCCTAGTTCCTGTGCCGGGCACGGTGGCTCAAGCCTGTAATGCCAGCACTTTGGGAGGCCGAGGCGAGTGGATCACGAGGTCAAGAGATCGAGACCATCCTGGTCAACATGGTGAAACCCCGTCTCTACTAAAAATACAAAACATTAGCTGGGCATGGTGGC